AACTGAGTTTTAATTGTAGGGAAAATTTTTTTTGGAAAATTTGGTTTCTTTTTGTCGTAAAAATTATAATTTTCCTATTTTTTTCGTTAGAGATGGCTAATAATTCTGAACAGGGAAGAAAATACTCAAACCAAAAAAAAAATTATTTTGAAAGATGTAATTTATCCGAGAAAGGTTTTGTGTATATTTGTTGGAAAGCAATTGGGAAATCCATAGAAAAATTACGTGCGTGGTTAATTGAGGAAAAAACAGACGAAAAAGCTAATGTGCTTAGGCATGTGCAAGTCCCGCGCGGTGGTAATTGTGAAAATTTGACAGAATATTCTCCTTAGGTTGTTAAGTGAGTCAAAATAACGGGTTTGAATGTGCCTATGCATATTCTTTTGTTTAAGGTGGCAAAGGGCAAAAACAGGCAAAGTACAGGTCACAAAATGCTATTACATCTAATTTATAGAGGCATTAGCATAGACCCCCTGTGTTATCTCTAATTGTCCAAAAAGTCCCTATGTTAAAAAAATTAACGAAAACCCCCCCTATGTGATGTTTTGCGACGCACACCCGTCGTTGCAACAAAATTGTCTGTTGGATTTCGTGAAAAGACGAAACTACCCCAGTAAATTTAAACAATTCAATTTTAAATAATGAAGAGAAAAAGGACAAATGGACGTCGGAGAAGACACCGAAAAAGCACGAAATTTAGTATTCGTTGTGAATCTTTTTTTCTGAAAAATCTCGAATTATGTATGTTTTTTTTTCTGAAAATATCGATCGGGGCAGATGTTTCCTGGGATTTTCAAGAGGTTTGAGATCTGTTTTCTTGTGGCGAATTTGCACAAGCTGTTGCTGGGATTTTTACAGTAGAAAAACAAGCTTGAAGCTTATTCCTTTTCCACTGTTAGATTTTTTTGGATCTAGATCAGAATAGAGCTTGAGGCTCAAATCTGAGTGTTTTTTGTTTTTCAAGAGAGCTTGAGGCTTGGAAATTAAGAGAGAAGTATGAGTTGAAATGTGCTTTACAAACCGATCATCTAAATCCTCTTTCTTCGCAGTCGAAGATTCTCTAGTGTTTTGCCTTTCGTCATGGAGGAGCCGCAAAAATTGCAAAACAGTCCTTGACATAAGGGAGAAGAGGGATTTTCTGAAATTGAAGGGGACTAAATTGAAAATATGGGATTTTTGCAAAAACCACCTTTGTGTAATCTTGAATGGCGAAAAAAACCCCGTATTAAAAAATTTAGCAAAAACCCCCCTGTGAAATTTAGTCTAAGGCAATACGGACCTTGACAGCTTATCGTGTGTTACCCGCGCGAATTTTGTGCCCTGGTGTGTACTTTTTACCCCAAAAAGACCAAAATATCCTTTCAATGGGATAATTACACTTTTGGTCCCTCATGTTTGATCCGATTTCACTTTTGGCCCCCTTGTTCCAAAGTGAACAAAGTTCACCTCCAGGTTTCAATTTTACACACTTTTGGTCCCCGCCGTTACATGTCTGTTAGCAAGTAAAAGAAAACACTATCTTGGGGTGAAAATTGAAATTTTAAAATTTTTTGGGGCTATAAAATAATTATAAATTTACAATAGACTACTTATAATTTTTAATAATAAAAAAGAAAATAACGAAACAAATTATTTTTTATGATAACTAATATTATTATAATTATACTACTTATAATTAAATTTTTAATAATAAAAAAATTAACTAAACAAATTATTTTTAATCATACTTAATATTATTTTTAATTTTACTACTTATGATAAAAAATGAGTACCAAAAAAATAAATTAACTTAACAAATTACTTTTAATTATACTTAATATTATAATAATTATACTACTTATATTAATTTTTTAATAATAAAAAATACATTAGCTAAACAATTTAATTTTATTACACTTAATATTATTTTTATCTATACTAATAATAAAAAAAAAAAAGAAATTAGCTTAACAAGTTATTTATAATTATACTTAATATTATTATGATTATACTACTTATAATTAGTTTTTTAATAAAAAAAAATGAATTAATTACATTAATGTGAATTATACTTAACATAGTTTTAATTATACTACTTATGATTATTTTTTTAATAATAAAAACATAAATTCTAAATAAATTTAATCATACTTAATATTATTAAATATTTAATTATAAGTACTCTATTTTAAATTTCTAATTAGTTTCCAGCCCCAAAACAATTTAAAATGTTAATTATCGCCCCAAAATAGTGATTTCCGTTACTTGCTAACGGACATGTAACGGTGGGGACTAGTGTTTAAAATTGATACTTGGAGGTGAACTTTGTTCACTTTGGAACAAGGGGACCAAAAGTGAAATCGGGCCAAACATGAGGGACCAAAAGTGTAATTATCCCTCCTTTCAATTATAAATTTCAGAAATTACAGATTCGCCCCAGAAAAATTAAGCCCCAAAATGAAGTTTTAAAACAATTTCAATTCAGTCCTTAGCACTTCCAGAAAAGCCATCTTCTCCAACTTAACCCAATTTTTTTTTCGATCATGAACTCTGTAAACACTATTTAGCAGTGTGGTTCGTAAAAACTTCATTGTGGGGCTTGTTTATCAAATTTCTAAATTAAATGATATTTGAGTCTTTTCAGGTTAAAAAAACCAAACCCTAGTCGCAGATTTCGCGAGTGTATGCCACCATCAACTCGAAAGAGCCTTATTGCCTTTGACTAACTTTATTAGGGGGATTCTTGCTAATTTTTTTAACACGGAGACTTTGGTGGCAATATATCACATGGGTGGTCAATGCTAAGAGCTCCTAATTTATACAATAAAACTTCGTTGATGACAACAAAATATTGTGTGCTAGTATACAACAAACAACTAACCTTTTCCAGACACGAAATTTGTAAATTAACAAGAACTGAAAGGGCTCAATAAATTACTACAGCAAAAAAAATAAGTAAAGAAAATATCCCCTATTTTCAAAAAGAGAATCGACTTGTTATGATATGAACAAACCTGAATGACATGTAAATAAAAACCAAAACATTAAAACATAACGAATATGCGTGGATCAAAAGAATCTTCGACACTGAACTCGAGACAAAAAATAGAGACTATATATCTATCGAGCGCTTTCGTTTCCACTTCCTCTTCGGTTTCGGTTTCTCAATGGGGAAGTACATACTCTCCATATATGGAACCGTAACCACTCCACCGCGAAAAAGTACTTTGTAATCTTCCCTTTCTTCAAACCTCTTTTCACAAGGATTGTAAATTATTACTTCACTTTCTTCAAACCTCTTTTCCCAAGGGTTGTAAATTATTAATCTATCATGATTTTCGTGGAATACAATCTTATTTCCCACGGAACATAGCTTCAACGACAACCAAATTGGCATCTTATATTCAACCATTATTAACTCGTTCCAAGAATTATTGTCTACGCCATTTTCCTTCGTGTAAATCCGAACCTTGTAGAAATTGCAATACATGCACAAAGAACCCCTCACATTAACCAAGTGAATAATTTTGCACCCGTCTACATTTTCCGGCAAATGCAAAAACTTGAACTTGTCATCTCTCGGATCATAATACACTATTTTTGTAACAGTCGGGCGACTCCAAACCCAATAGCTAACCCCGTCAACACAGACTCCTTTCGGTGAAGTGTTCCTTGGATTGAAACCTAAACCAGTGTATTCAATTTCGTATTCTTTTTTCATCATAATCCAGGATTTCTTCTTACAAGAATAAACTGAGTAGTGGTACCAATCCGCAACAACAACCTTAAAATCGTCAGTGTTCGGATCGCGGCAAAGCCCGAAAGACGCCTTACTGCAGCCCTTCCGATGCCAAAGCTTTTCCGCTGTTCGAGTGGATGGATTCCACAACACAAGTCTCTGGTACGAACGGCTGGTTAACAGTAGGATGCCATCACAAAAGCACAATACCAACCCACAGCCAAAGGGGGCTTCTATTACTACTGGTAGGGTTTGGAATTTTTCATCATCGAATTCAACCACGGAAAATCGGATAGAAGAAGTACTCGACATCGCACGAGTTAGGAAAAGGTTATGCGAGGTTGAATGCTTAGATTTTTGGATATGATTCTGGATGAATACAGGATCTGTGATTATAGTATTCCATGACTTGGAAACTGATTTGAATCGGTAAAGAGATTTTACTGATAAGTTTGATAGAATAATTTCGACGATTTCCGGTGGAAGATGTGATTTGTTATCAGCCATGGTTTGGAGCTTGTAGGCAGCGGCATTGATTTGCAGCATGTGTGTGTGCATATATATACAGTTCCGTGAGTTACGGATTCTGCAACAAGAGTTGTATGGTATTTTGCTTCTCTTAGAAGATTAACTTTCCCTATCTTTGAAAATGTCGTTACAAAAAACAAAAAAAAAATGAATATACGAGCAGTATGATATGTCTACTTGGGTCAACCCAATAGGCCTATAATTTCTTTATGGCAGCGACTATTTGCAAGACGAAATTTACTTAGTGCAAGACCAATTTAATTTTTTTTATTAAATTCAGTATAAAAAGACTATAATAACCTTAATAAAATACAAACAAAAAAAAATTATTTTATTAATTTTCTTTTGCAAGACCAATTTTAAAAAAAATTAATAAAACAAAAAGAAAAAAGAAATTGAATTGACAAAATCAAAACGAGGAGGGAAAATTGAAGAAAACAAAAAAAATCAATTGCAGCAAAAAACCGTTCGTCGCCCCGTCGCCGTCGCCCCGTCGTCGTCGCCGTCGCCGTTGAAGTCCACCGCCGTCGCCCGTCGCCGTTGAACTCCGTTGTTGCCCCAACCCCGTCACAACAATCTCACGAAAAACAAGTAAAAATTACTTTTTGAATTAACTTTTTTTGAGAAATAAATGTGATAAACATTATTTTATTGTTAGAATAATGAATTCAAGTCGTTTTAGAACATAGTTGATGATTCTAGGGTTCGATTGTAGCACTATTGTTGAAGGAGTTGCGGTTTTACAAAAATCGACATGTACTTGTCGTTTTTTTGGAAAATTTTCGACACACTGGCGTCGAAATACCCTCTTAATATCGACACCAGAATGTCGATAATTTCAATATAATTCGACAGTTAATGAGTGTCGAATTATTTTGACATTTTCGACACTGCAGTGTCGATATAAAGCTGATATTTCGACCTGTACATGTCGATTTTTTTGTACGTGAAATGAGGTGCGAAAAACGAGAAAAACGATCACAAAGTACAATATTTCTTACCTCTTTGTGTTCTTCGACCTTAGAATCCTCCATATTTATGTCTTGTGTATCCATAATGTCCTTCTTTTCAAGTTTTAGTAAGATTTGAGGGTTTTATGTGATAAGGGTTTTGGAGAATATGGAAGATTTTTTTGTGGAAAAAAATGTGTAAAATGAGGGTGAAGAAGATGTTGGTGTTTTGTTGGGTGAGTGAGTTCCCTCTCTTTTTTCTTTTTTTTTTTATTCTTTTTTTTTGTATTTTTTTTTGGTCTTGCAATAGCAATTAACTTAATTTAAATTAATAATATCTAAATTATTATTGGGGTTATATTTGTAATTTCCAGTCTTGATCTTAGTAAATTTATTTATATTTTGGTCTTGCATGAAGTAAGGTCTTGCACTTAGTAATTTTCGTCTTGCAAATATCTGCAGCCTTTCTTTATTTACTGGGCCACAAGCCCAATATTGAAGACCACTACTATTGAGGCCCAGTCTCCGTCAAATAAGGTTTTGGCCCGATAATCTTAACTAATTAAACTTCAGCCCTATCAATGAGGTATAAATAAATGTTTTTCTTAAACTTTTCAGATGTTTTCCTTTTGGGAAAATTTTAATTTTGGTCCTATATGCTGGTCTCTTTAGAGATTTAGTCTTGTAAGTTGACATATTTCAATTTTACATGCAATAATTGTGAAAAAATAGTATTTTTAGTCCTATTTCACTCGAACTTGAATTTTAGCCGTCGTTTAATGATGTACCTAACAAACCCGTAGAAATTTATATATATGGACACTTAAAAATTATAATTGCTCCTCTAATTTGATTTTGTAGATGTCTCACATAATTAAAGTTCTACAAATGGTAGGTTAGATGTCGAATTTATAAATTTCCAATCGTCCATATAACTAAAATATGTCAAGTTTATTTGTCGCGTCATAAAATTAAAAATCATGCAAAATAGGACTAAAAATACTATATATTTGCTAAGCTATTGCATGAAAAGTGAAATATAACAAGTTAGATGACTAAATTCCTAAATAGATCAACATAGAGGACCAAAACTACAATTTTCCTTTTTCCTATTCATGTAAAATCTAAAAAAGAAGAATAAATATCACTTAATCCCCCGTAGTTACAAGCTTTTGTAGATGACCTCTTTTTGCTCGTCATATCAGCAAATAATCCCCTTGGGCCTCTTTTGGTTTGATGGATGAGATAGATAAATTTGTTAGGATTACGTCATATAACACTATTCATGATTATATAGTAGCAAAAAAAATGAGTTTGGTTTGTAGGATTTACCTACAAAAGACAACTGTCTATGATGTTTGGTGGCATGATTTGTACTGATAAGGTGTGAAATAACATAATTGCCCTTACATGTCAAGATCCAAGGAGGGGAAAATATGTGTTCTTCAAAATTATTGGTAACTCACCCTTTTGCAAATAATTTCGTTGTTTTGCAACTATTTTGTAAAATGTATTTTACTTCATAAGGTAGAGTGAGGAATGAATCATTTAATTTATGAGCACTCTTCCAAATAATTGATAACGTATATTTTATGGCAAAACAAGGACAAATTGCTTGTGTTAATTCTAAAATATAAATAAATTTGACCAAAAATTGAAAGAAAAATACAAGTTAGACCATTAAAAAACACAACACAAGAAAGAAGACAATTCACTAACTTTTTTTGTTCTTGTTCTTAGGCATAGTCTCTACAAATTTTTTAAGAGTTGGATAAATTATGAGGAAAAAAATGGCCTCCGACAACACAACTGGGTATTGTTTTCTCTCTCATGATACCGCCGTTCCAGTTCTATTGTAATGTCGCGGTTGCGTCGTGGCTGCGTCACGGCCGAAACGGATAAATTATAATAAAATTGCAAAAAAATATAATTAATGTCACATAAGTTTTAATATTAGTATTACACTAGAATATATACAAATTATCATTAAAACTCTAATCTTAATTTTAGAACAATTCTTTAACCCTTGAGAAGTAGAAATAGGGGGTGAAATTGTAAGTTATGACATTTTTGAGATTTAGTTAACCCTTAATTAAGTGATTTAGTGATTTAGTGATTTGATTAGCTCTAATGAAATCTTAATTAGGTGATTTGATTAGGGATTTGATTAGATGCAGTTATTTTATTCTTTCTATTGCTTCTCTTTTGTGTGTATATAAATATACAAACAGTTATTGATGAAATACAAGACAAAAATCCATCTTCTTCAGTCATGTGTTTCATCAATTTTACATCGTCCCTCAAGTTTTCATCAATTTTACATCGTCCCTCAAGTTTACACCGATTTCACATTCGGTCCCCAAGTTGACAAAAATAAAAAAAAATAAAAAAAAATAAACAATTGGTCCCTCACAGTTCAACAATTTAACACTTTTGGTCATTTCTGTCAATTTACTATTAGTTCGTCAACTAAGACAGTGATGGACACATTACTTGATGGACACATTGCTTGATGCCATTAGGTAATAAAGAAAAATTGAAGGAAATGACCAAAATTAGACAGTGATGGACAGATTGCTTGATGCCATTAACGAAAAATTGACTGAAATGACCAAAAGTAGACAGTGATGGATACATTGCTTGATTCCATTACGTACGTACGAAAAATTGACGGAAATGACAAAAAATGTTCAATTTTTGAAACATGAGGGACTAGATCTGATCGAGAAAACAAATATAACCCACGTCTTCAAAACAAGAATAGACTTATTTCGACGTGACACTGAACTATGAAATGCTAAATAATACTCTATTGTAAACAGTTCCGCTTCAATTACCTCTCGGGTTTCGATCTCTCAATGGGGAAGTACAAACTCTCCATATAGTTAACCGGAACAGATGCGATGTCCCAGAACTGTGTGTCCGTTTTGAATTCTTCAAGCCTTCTATCACAAAGGTTATAAATTACTAATCTATCATAATCTTCTGTGAATGCAATCTTATTTTGGTTAAAACATAGTGGCTGCAACACCGAAAAAACCGACACCTTGTGATATTTAATGGTTATCAACTCCTTCCAAGAATTATTATCTATGCCGTTTTCCTTTTCCCAAATCCGAACTGTGTTCTTCTCTATGCCATGAAAATTGCAATACAGGCACAAGGAGCCCCTCAAATTAACCAAGAAAATCAATTTTCTGTCGTCTATTTTTTCCGGCTTATCCAGCATCTTGAACTTGTCATCTCTCGGATCATAATACATTATTTTTGTAGCGTTTTCGAAACTCCAAACCCAATAGCTGGCCCCGTTAACACAGAGTCCTTTCGGATTTCTGTTCATTAGACCTAAACCGGTCGATTCAATTTCGTAATTTTTTGTCAACATAATCCAGGATTTGTTCTTACAAGAATAAACTGAGTAGTGGTACCAATCCGCAACAACAACCTTAAAATCGTCAGTGTTTGGATCGCGGCAAAGCCCGAAAGACGCCTTACTGCAGCCATTCCGATGCCAAAGCTTTTCCGCTGTTCGAGTAGATGGATTCCACAACACAAGTCTCTGGTACGAATGGTTGGTTAAGAGTAGGATGCCATCACAAAAGCATAATACCAACCCACACCCAAAGGGGGCTTCTATTACTACTGGTAGGGTCTGAAATTTTTTATCGTCGAATTTAACCACGGAAAACCGGATTGGAGAACTCGACCTCACACGACTTAGGAAAAGGTTATGCGAGTTTGAATTCTTAGATTTTTGGATGTGATTTTGTACGAATAAAGGATCTGTGATTATAGTATTCCATGACTTGGAAACTGATTTGAATCTATGAAGAGATTTTACTGACAATTTTGATAGGATAATTTCTATGATTTCCGATGGAATGTGTGGTTTATTCTCATCGGCCATGGTTTTGAAGTCTGTAGGCGGCGTGGATATACATGTTTATATATATATATATATATATATATATATATATATATATATATATATATATATATATATATATATATATAAAATTCCGTGAGTTATTCACTTTGCAAGAGAGTTGTATGGAATTTGGTTTCTCCAACTAATTAGAAGATTGAGTTTCCTTGTTTTTCAAAATTTCATTAAAATGGCTTAATCCCACTTTGAATCCTTGAAATATATCATTTTCGCACTTTGCACCCTCGAAACAAATTTAATAGCATTTTACAACCTCGAAACACAATAAATCATGCATAATGCACTCCAATAAATTTGTAAAGCGAATAAAGGTAATTTAATATTTTTAGTGGTATTTTTTTAGGATTAAAAATATCAAATCCTTTTTTTTTCCTCATCAATTATTTTGAAATTATTAAGTGCAAGAATAAAAAATACATCTCATCGATATTATTAAAAATTATATTTTTCATCACAAAAAAATATTTTACGAAAAAAAATCATTCAGCTATTTCGTTATCAAGTTATATGAAAATCATATTTATTTCAAATAATTTTACCTAATATTTCCACTAGTTGCAATAAAAGATCCATCAATCGAATAATTTAGTTATAAAAGTTTATTTTAATTTATTTTCTTAGAAAATATAATTATTTTTAATAATCCGGTGCGATTTTTATTATTTCGTCATTTTGTGCGCTCAAAATTAGGTTTGAGGTTGAAGAAATTAAGAATTTAATTTGTTATTTTGATAAAAAATGAAACTGCCTCTATTATCAATTCATGGTGTATTGTGAATGATTTAGTGTGTTTTGAGGATATAAAGGGCTATTATTATTTTTCAAGGGTGCAAAGTTCGAAAATGCTCCATTTCAAGGGTGCAAATAGGATTAAGCCCATTAAAATTGTGGAAGTGTATTAGAGTGATTTTATGAGTAAACACGACTTGGTTTAATAACTACACTCTAAGTACGCATATGCATGAGTGTGTGTATGTGTGATTATGTGTAGATTTACGATTCAAATCTACCCAGTGTAAACAATCAGGTGTAACATCCAAATTCCCAGTAAACACTGTAAAACCCTTTTATACTGTAAAACCCTTTTTTGTTAAGGAAAATCATCGCCAAGACTTCGATATGTTCATTTAATTGAGCAGAATCCAAATGTGTTTACTTCTTTTTTCCATTAATAATTAACCATTTACCTACAAGAAAAAGACCTTTTCGCCTGGTGCTTTCCCCGGTTCCAATAAATTCCCGATTCTTAATTGTTACAGTATATACTCCACGAAATCTACACATAATTTTAGCAAAGAGAAACTCAGATTAATCGAGAATAGGGGATGTAAATGAGTTGAGCCGACTTGAAAAAAAATTGAACTTGAGCTCGTGAGCTCAAGCTTTTTGACGAGCCGAACTCGAGCTTTAGTTGTTCGTGAACTCACGAGCCGGCTCACGAACTTTCCTTTTATTTATTTTTTAACTTTTATATATTAACTTTGATTTAAATAATATATAGTAATATAAAATGTTATAATATAAATATAAAAAGAACATATAATAATTAAAAAATATAAAATTACAGTTCATTATTTATTATTGTAATTTTGTTGGTTATAATACAAATAATTTTTAACAATAGTTTGAAAATCCAGAACAGGGGAGGGAGCTTTGAAAATTCTTTATAAATTCCCTACTGCTCTAAACACTAGCAAATTTTATACCAAAGTAGATACGTGAGTTAGAAACATACTCCAAGGTAAATGCATTCATTTGAGTAAAAAAAACTTCATATATTGATGCATTTCCTAAAATGACTCAGCATGTGCACAGTTACGGAAATTAATTCATAATAAATTCGTGACTTATCCAAATGATGCAAAAGACCTATCAAAATAATCCTAACAGAAAGACCTATGAATCTGTAAAATTACATGCAATTCTAAACAGAAAGTATATTTAATACGGATTATCGAACAACAGGGCATAACACAACATATAATTAACCGATAAGCATTATATAGAAGTTTGGCAAAAAGAGGAAATCAAAATCCTAATTATTATTAGATGCAATGTTTTCTTACTAATAAGATCCCCCGAGGGGTGGAAGAGTACGATAATAGACATCTAAGATGGTACTGAAAGTCTTTAAAATTAAACTATATACGTAGAACAATATGGCTAAATTAAGAGCACACAA